GAATATAATTGTATTTAGTTTTATTTATTTATAAATAAATAAAATAAAATCTAGTTTTTGTTTTGTGTATTTATTTTATATATTTGTTTATTTTTTGTTTTTATTTTCTTTGTTATGTTGTGCCGTTGCTGGTATTGCTCATGCTGCTACTTTTGCTGCTGCTGCTGCTGCTGCTGTTGCTGCTGCTGTTGCTCCTGCTGCTGCTGCTGCTGCTGCTGCTGCTGCTGCAGGGGGTTGACGAGGGTTTGCATGCATCTAATTCCCGTCCTCGATACCGCTCGCCTTTGGTGGGTGGTGCTGCTGCTGCTGCTGCAGCAGCTTTATCAGAGCAGCAGCAGCAGCAGCAGCAGCAGCAGCAGCAGCAAGCAGCAAGCCGCAGACAGAAAGCTGCAGCAAGAAAGAGGGAAGACTCTAAACCAGATCAGCAGCAGCAGCACCACCATCATCACCACCACCACCACCACCACCACCACCAGCAACAGCCGCCGCAGCCGCAGCAGCAGCAGCACCAGCAGCAGCAGCAGCAGCAGCAGCAGCACGGCCTTGGCCTGCATGGGGGAGGCGAGGCGCCTCCCCCTAGCTTTGGCTCCCGAGCTCCATCAGGGCTCAGTATGTAGCTAGCTAGCTAGCCAGCTAGCTAGCTAGCCAGATAGCTAGCTAGCGATTAGCTGTGGCTAGCTAGCTAGCTAGCGATTCGCCGTGGCTAGCTAGTTAGGTAGCTAGCTAGCTAGCTAGCTAGCTAGCAGTTGGCTAGCCATGATTCCCAATCTGGCTAGCCATCGCTTGCCCTCCCAGGCAAACTTCTCTTTTTTAGCTAGCTAGCCAGCTAGCTAGCTAGCTAGCTAGCTAGTTAGCTAGCTAGCTAGGTGGATAGCTAGCTGGCTAGCTAGCTGGCTAGCTAGCTAGCTAGCTAGGTGGATAGCTAGCTAGCTGGCTAGCTGGCTAGCTAGCTAGCTAGCTAGCCGGGATTCAGGGACCTTGTCGAATTCCCTCAATAGGCGTTCGCAGAGCGGAGAGCGGTGGCTAGCTAGCTGCAGCTGGTGGCTAGCTAGCTGCAGCTTGTGGCTAGCTAGCTAGCTAGCTAGCTGCAGCTTGTAGCTAGCTAGCTAGCTAGCTAGCTGCAGCGTATAGCTAGCTAGCAGCAGCAGCTAGCCATAGATAAGCAGCAGCTAGCTACACAACAACAACAGCTAGCCATAGAACAACGAGAGACAGCAGCAGCAGCTAGCTACACACAGGCAGCAGCTAGCCACAGATAAAGGGCAGCTAGCTACGGCTATACAGTA